CCGCTTCCCTCCACAACTCAGCATACAGTAGCACATGCTTGGCCGCCCGCACTGCGCACTTAATGTAGGACGTATCAAAATCCCACACGGCGAGCTGGTCATATATTGCGGCAAGGCTGCGCACGCAGTTCAAACGAAGGGCGTTGTGTTCTGAAGTCTGATCGTAGAATGTGATAAGCATGTGTAGCAATACGTTCAACAAGTGTCTCCCCTCACCTGCCTTCGTCTTCATCTTCGGACCTTTGCCACTCGCCCTGAACATGGGAAGTGTTAGTGCGTGCACGGGGCAGTCGATGCCCAAAAACTTTGAACCCAAACGTATCTGTGATCTCAAAACGCTCACAGCCCCTTTTGACCCTGCTGAATCAGGCGACATGTTACCGCCCAAGCTGCAATGCAACTCCCAGAAGCAATTGCCGAGGAGATGTTGGAGAATCCCTAGACACACAACGTGCACCAAATCTATTAGTATGCACTTGATCCGCATGCCTGGGAAATTGAAGATCTCACTCCTGAACCCACTGTGAAGCTTGCACATGAAGAGGGCCTTATCAACATCATATTCGCGCCCTCTCCAAGGGGCATGGCGGTCAGCCCTGCGGAAATCAAAGTCGGCCTTGTCATTGGCAGGGCATCGCCAGCATACGTGGCCGTGCCCCCCTTCCCCTTTCCACCCCGATAATCCAAAAGCTTGTTTGTGCCAGGCCCAGTCCCCCTTTATCTGAATGCACGCGGCCTTGCAATTCAAAACGCAGCCCGCCTGGTGTATTCGATCCCTGTCGCCAACGCCCGAGCTCTTGTTATACGGTGTCTGGTCGTGGCGCACGCGTGGAAAATGCCCATCTGCCAGTGCGCGGAGGCCCCACCCCATCACTCGCCACGCCTCTTCGAAAGTGTGACGGCCGTAGCAGCCGCACTGGCATACGTACCTTGGAAGGTGTTGTCAGACAAATCTGTCGCTGATTGCTTCGGCGCCCGAAATGAGCGCGGACAAAATGAGTGCGGTGCCCAACAACAAATGTCGTCCCAAACCAACAGCGGCCGTTGTTGGGCAGGCCTCCTCCTGTCTCGAATGGACACAGGCCGCGGCTGCGCGGGCAGCGAGTCCTGTTCAAATTGAACAGGAACTGCTGTTGGGCATCGTGCACATTCTTTCCGCATCCATTTCGTGCGTACAGATCTGTGGTTTATTTGCAACCTGTGTCCTACCCCATCCACTTCCAGTCGTCCGCCAGCTTCGCACCCCGCATCCTCCTTTGCGTTCCGTCGCTTCACTGCTGGGGCACTGTATGTATTGAGTTGCGTTGCGTTTGCTGGATCAGTTGCGGTGCAGTTCGTTCGTCCTCACGCATCGCGATTCGCTGAATAATTTGTAGTGTGTTTATGTAATCTATAATGTTTCTGTATTATGTAGTTGTTTATGTCATCTGTTGTTTTTTCTGTAATATGTAGTCGTTTTGTTGTTTTTCTTCTGTAGTTCCATGTGTTTGCATTTGCTTGCATTGTATTTGCAGCGTTATCTGTTAACAGAAATTACTTATGTAATTAAGTTGATTGCGTCTGATCGCTTGCGCTATTGCATATAGGTCTTCCCGTTGGGCCCCCCCACCCCCCGCCCGTTGCCCAGGCGACGACGCAGCGACTCCAGCTGCGACAGCCCCGACGGCAGCGCGGGCCGAAGGGACGAGGCATCGATGATAGTTTTGATGAGCTTCGATTTCCCAGGGTACCGCTTTGGGAAACAACAAAACCAATGCCGTCGATGCCGATCTTTGCCTGACAACACCTGCCACGTGAGAAGATAGACGCTGTCTCGCTTCGAGTACGGGGCGCCATCACCCCAAAGCCCCAAACTTGCAAACAGCTCGGTCGTCGCATCCCGAGGTGGCTTGGGCGTTTCGCCCCACTCTTTCAGTACATCGTTTAGTGGGCTGACCTCGGGGGCAAAAGTACACCATTCATGTACGGTACTAGGCTGAACCATGTGGTGTAACATCTCGTGTGGTAACAGAAAATTCGTCAACATCGTGGCCTTTTGATTTCTCAGGGGGTCCCATGAGGGCAACGCCGCTTGGTAAACTGGTGGGAGATCGATTTTGTCCAGCCGCCTCGTTAGCCCTCTATAGACATTGCCTCCGTTCTGGACCGAGCCCCAATCTTGGACAACACGAGGCGTCTCGGTGGGTGCATCGCTGCAAAATGCCTGCGATGCTTCAATTACATCAGTCGCGCTGAACCCATGTTTGGCAAACTTCCGCTTCAAGAATTGCTATGTATGGCAGCAGTCGGCGCTAGCGCACTTGTCGGAGAATGCCTCCTGGCAGTATCCATCTTCGGGGCGATGCCAATTGAAAACGCATCCAGAATTTCGGCCTCCCCCCTTCACCCCATGCCCCAACCGCCGCCGCCCCCCATCGAATCCCAATCCACCCGCCCGCATGCTGGACCCAGGGCCCAAACAAAAAAGAATGATCATCCTCGTGGCATCGCCCCGACAAAGGACTTGTTGCCGATTGAGTCCGAGAAGAGCTTCTTGCGAATGCCGCCGAGGACCATTCAGCGATCGCGCTAACCCCACGCGCGATCTGCAAAGCCTCGGGCCTAAAAAGGAGCTCGCAAGGCCAGTCGGCGGGGAACGAGGGGGGAGGGGGGCTGGAGGAGCGAGAAGTGGGAAGATGGCAGGGCGGTCTTGCATAGGACATCTGAAGACCACAGATCAGATATATTTCACGCGTTCACGGGGGGGTCGGGTTCCAAGGGGCCATGGTTCCATGTTCTGGGGGTGCCAGCCGTCTCCCCAGGGGGCGCTTCAGGTGTTGCTGGCTTCTGTCCTCACGCGTGGACCTCAAGGGGGGGCGATGAGCCCGTCGTGCCCTATGAGGCCCTCGGGGGTAACCTTCACCTCCTGGGGCCATGCTGGTCATTCGAGTTTACCAGGCATCAAATATCAATGGTTATTATGTCCGCAAGGTTTCATGGATGGACGTTTCGAAACAATGCTCTGCTCACAAACTTGTTTGCTTGTTTTTTTTTATCTGGCAACCGTGGGAACAGAGGCAGTGCCAGAAAATCAGCCAGGGGCATTATGGACATCACTTCCTTGCCTCATCCATCCCTCGCTTGGTCGTTTTCGTTTTCATTGTCAGTATACCTCCCCCCCCCCCCCGACCAGCCAGGCTCAAGCGAACTTGAAACTGCGCGCAACACGTCGTGCGCTGCGCCTAGCGGCCAGGCAGATGGCGGCGGGCTCAACGCTGCGCCACGCAGCCCAAGACGAATCCTTCATCTTGCGCATCTCGTCCAACGTAGGTTTCTTGAATGTGTTGAACTTTGTAGTCTCCTGCTCGAGGTCATGTTTGAGCTTGTCGGACATGGTGGTGTAGACCTGCGGGTCGTTCGAAGACTGGCCCTTGACAGACTTTGCCTCCGTGTAGATGCCGTTGGCGAATTTCTCCATGCTGAGTCGGTGCTGTTTCCCCTGCTCTGCGAGGTAGTCGCCCGTCGACTGCGGGAAGCCCTTCCTCTGAAGTTTCAATGGTAATTTGGGATCTCTCTCAGCTCGTCGTCCACGCTTCGGGCCCACGCTTTTGCTTGCTTGATCTGCTCGTCGAGAAGTTTCTTGGCCTCGTCGACCTTTGCCCTCATCGGGTTATGCTGTGCCTCCTGCTTCTCCTTCTCGGCCTTGGCTGCGGCCCGTTCCTTCCTCTCGCGGTCCTTCTTCTCCTTCTCGGATTCCCCTGCCGCGCCGTCGGACAAGGGCAAGGCGCTGGAGATCGCCTGGCCCATCATGGCGCCCTTGATCTGCTTGTAGGTATCTGCGTTGACGTGCACGCTCGAACTCACGCTCGACGAGTTGTTCTTGAACTCGATCTCCCTGGGGATCTCCTTCGAGAACTTGTACTCCCTCGCGCCCGCCTCCGCCAGCAACCCGTTGCGATGCGGTCTGCGATCCAAAGACTTTACGATGATAGCTGCATGCAGCGGCGAATTGAGGTACATTGGCCCTCCGAGCTGCTCCTCTGTCAGCCACTCGGTGAGGCTCTCCGACTCGTCCCTGCTGCCGACGGTGGTGTCTTGCCCTGCGGAGCAACCTCCACTTGTTGGGTCAAAGATGAATTTGGTCAACCACTCTCGCTTGCGCTCGATGGAAGCGCGGCCCGTGGTATCTTTCACGTACTTAGCGTGCAGCATAGGACACTTGGACTTTAAAGTCGTTCCCAATGAGCTGAACAGACTCTTGAGCGAGTCATCATCAAGAACATCCTTAAGCTTGTCAGCGGTCAAATCCTCGAGCTTGGAGATGCCTGCTTTCTTCAGCGAGTCCCTCGCCGCAACCACGGGCTTCGGGACCTTCATGCCCTTGAGCTTCTCGAGTTCACTCAGCTCACCAGCCGTGATCTCGGCCTTGACGGGGTGCAGCTCGACGGGCGGGGCAGCCATGCTCTTGCTCGCTGTCGGCGCCTTGCTCTTGGCCACGAGCAGGGCCTTCGCCTTGGCCTTGGGCGCGGCCTTCTCCTCGTCTGCAGGTGGCTCGACTGGCGCAGCCATTGCCTTGCCCTTGGCGGGCTTCGGCGCCTGCCCCTTTGCTTTTGCCTTTGCTTTTCCCTTGGGTTGTGGCTTGGCTGCCAGCGGAGCGTCGCTGCTGTCGTCGTCTTGCTTCGTTCTCTTTGGCGGGCACGCAATGGCCGTGGCAGCCGGCCTTTTGCGGGCACTGGCGGGCGACTCGCCATCTGCCATCGCCGCGGGCAAGCCGCCATCAGCGCCCGAGCGCGGCATGAGTCTGACTGCTCGCTCAGTGGAGCAAGCGAGATCGAAAACTGTTTCGGCAGAACTCGAGCCAAAACAGCTACGCCACGGAGGAGCCGGTTTCTGGCACATCTCTGCCATCGCTGCGTCCGTTGGCCCGAACATCCAAAAAAACCTCCCTCCCTCCCAGTCGTTTCGGTTTCTGTGGTGTTTTCTGTATTCTGTAGTTTTTTTTCTGTACTTTGATATGCTTCAAATATCAATGAAAACCATACATACATATATATATATATGTTTATAGTGGTTTTCATCAACTACAGAATACAGAAAAACTACAGATTACAAAAAAACTACAGATTACAGAATTTTCTCAGAAAGCTCGATCGCGCTGGAATACAACCTTCCTGGGGGATTCGTGCTTCCCAGGAATGCAACGATCAAGTGTGCTCGCTGGTTTGTCCAACTCCGAACTCCCGCATCCCCAAAGGCCCTGGCGCTCCACTCCCCCGAAGAGAAGCCCCCCTCCCAAGGGCGGGGCGCCCATCATAATTCAGGGAACGCGCGGGGCGGGTGAAGGGCCCGAACGGACATCTCGGCGACGAGGGGGGGCGCGCAGGCACGGACGAATCGGTAGCCACGGCAAAAAAAAAGACAGTAGACGGTTGCCCCCCTCCCCCCATTCTATGCAATACCTAATGTTGTCGCTCGAACTTGCCCACCGTTGACGGGGGGGGTTGGAATCTTCTGGGGGACCTGCGTTCCCCAGGATCGGTGGTTCCAATAAGAGTTCAACGTGCATCCAACGCGAGCTGACGGCCTCAAAGGACATCTGAAGAATAATTCTGATGAGCAGGATCGAATGGAAAGAGTTTGGAGCGTTTGGGGTGGTAACAGGAGAGACAAGGGGAGTGGGCGTTGAGATGGCGATGGGTGTCGATGCGTTAGATCTGGCAGAGCAGCAGCGGCGCCAGTTGGAACCTCAAAGCAAGCAAACAACATTGGATGAGCTCCGACGGCCACGCACTGTAATGTGTGAGCCAACGCTCTTTCGATTTCCTGCACAAGGTCCTGACCCATTCAACAGCCTTGTGCTGGCCTTTGAGAGGTCCGCGCAGGGCAGAAACAACTTTGAGCACATCCTTCATGATATGCTCTGTGATCTTTGCAGTGTGCGGGGGTCCGTTGGTGGTGACCTGTGCCACTTGCGCCTTGTCGGATGGGCTCAGCACGAGAAGCGTCGACGAACCGTGGTGGCCAGCTGCGACCCTGATCCGACAGTCGCCCCCCGTGCCCCCATCGGATTCGGAAGGCGCCACCACGTCATCCAAAGCGGCAAGTTCCACGCTGTCGGCTAATGGCGGCGCGTCGCCGCCTTCGCTCGACGAGTGAATTATGGCTAGCGCAAGCTCTGAACAAGCTGGCCGCTTGCCCACGGCAGCGCAGGAGGGCCTCTTCAAAACAGTGCCAGGCGCCTCGCCAGCGCACGCAGGCTGCTTGCCAACATCAGCGGGCGCCTCGCCAGCGCACGCAGGCTTCTTGCCAACCTCAGCGCAAGCAGGCTTCTTGACGGGGCCGTTCCTGGCTGTCTTCTTCGGAACTGGCAGCGGCAGCGGCCTGCGATGATAGGCCCAAACGCGCGTGAGATCCTCGTGGATGGGAGGGGGGGGGGGATTGTTTGTTTTAAACCAGTGATTGTTTGCATTGTTAAACAGTCGTGTTTCAAGTGCAACGCCCAGGGGCCTCAGGAGGCTAAAAGGTCACGTAGGGCCTTCACGGACGATGCAACAACCACAGCTGCCACTCACGTGCCAGGCACACTTAGAGCCTGTAAACCAGCAACAATATTGGCGATGGGGCGGAAGGGGTGAGGGGGTGGCATCTGGCAGAAGAAGGTTGGCGATAGAGTTGAGTTATGCAGCAGTGGTGGTTGGAAAGGGGAGGGCGGCCGCGCCTCCGCACCCAATCCCACCCCCCTCGGCTCCTCCTCCACCCACCCGCCCCCGCTGGCAGGGCAACGACGCCAGCCTGCTGGCAACCGCGACTGCGCGACAGATGGCACGCGACGGGGACGAGCACCTGTCACCGACATCACGGTGCTGGGGGGGGGAGGGGAGGGGGGAAAGATTGTGACTGGTCCAAGGGGAGGTCGCACTCCAATTTCGACAGGGGCCCTCGGGGGGCCCAGCCACGGAGAGCTCACGTGGTCGGCCACGTGGGGCCACGCGGCGGCCCACGTGGCCCAGAAATTAAGTGCGACCTCCTCATGGGAGAAAACTCTGG